CCAAATTTAAATGTAACAGAATATGTATATTCATTCAATCATAGTCTTAGAATATCTTGTATGAGGAACCCAATTATAGCCTAAAAGACAAGCAGAAATGGGTTTCAATATTTACAATGAAAGGTACAAAGAATCTCACCTTTGGCAAAATCATGCAACCTAATTTCTTTGTTGTCATTGCCAATTAATCTCGTTCCTTCCAAAACTTCATCTTCAATAAAAAAACAGAGTTGTACCAACAAATTAATCATCTATTTAATTCCTCAAAAGTCAAAGACAGGAAAAAATACAATTTTTTTTCATAGAAGAGCTAGGAACTATGTTTCTACTACTCTTTCACCACATCGGTTATTATGCCACAGTATCACTTCAACAAATTTTATCAAAACAATTAAAGCACATTTGTAACCCAATAATTCCCATTGCACACTACATGATGTAGGCACAAGAAAATAAAAAGCCGCTAAATATAGATTCAAGGGCAAATTACACTAATAGTCCCTATAGTTTGGAACTCGTGTTAGTTTAGTCCTTGACTTTTCAATTGTGACACATTTAACCATGAATTTTGAATCTTATTTCAAATAAGGACAATTGAACATACCATTGCTTAATTTCAAGGGCAAAATTGTCAATTGATAAAATATAAACTAATTTGACAAAAATAAATATCAAAAAAAATATGTTAAAATTTTAAAAAATTATTTCTACCCACCAAAGATAAAATTATGTAAAATTAATAAAAATTACATGATTAATTTTTAAAAATTAATTTTACATGATCATCATCTAAATACATAATAAAAATTAATTTGGTAAAAATAAATATATGTCTAAAAGATTTATCAATTTTATATAATTTTATCTTTGGTAGGTAGAAATAATTTTAAAAAATTCAAAAACAATTTTTTTAGGTTAATTTTTTTAATGTCTAAAAGATTTATCAATTTATCAACTTTTTTGACTTTGTGACTATATTAATTTAGGCTAAAAAATTTGTTTAGGTTAATTTTTTTTTTCTTTTAAACTTTTTGAAAGAAAAAATAAAATGATTATGATTTGAATGTGATATTTTAAAAAAATTCTATTTCCACATACCTATTTATCTCAGTGTATATCACTTTTCAGTGCACACTTAATAATTTTATTATTAGTTATTTTCTCATTTCACACCAAATATTTCAATCATACCCTTAATTCATATCCTTGTACACACCACCTCAATCCTCTTTTTACACAACTATTCAAAATTTTATACCAACGATTTATACTCCATTTCAATTTAAGGAGAAGTAGAGTTTTGAATCAGTGGTATTACTGTGAAACAAAAAAGGATCAGTGGGTGGAACTTCAATGAAGATGGGTTTGAACTTATAGCGTCCCGAAATAAATATAATAACCCATTGACAATATCAATAAATGACACCATGATAAGATAATTATCCTCCATTAAATCCAATTGAGTCTACAAAAGAAAAACATATGTAGTATACATTCATAATGTCTGGCGCTGAATCTATAGCATATGTTGCGAACAAAAGAAAAAGAATGGAAGTTAAGCAGATAAGAAATGCTTACAACTTTCCAAGGCGATGCTTGGCTACAACAAAAGTGGACTTAAGTCCAATACAATTAAAGCCCTTGACTTGTACAAAACAAATACACAAAAAGAAGCTCTCGCTCTAAGTTTTCCCAAGCTATTGCTTTAGCGGAGGCATATCATCAACACCTAAAATTTTTTTCCCACACAGGGTGAGTCAAGGTCCAGTAGAAATAATCCAACACAATATATGTATCTTAACAAAGCTATAAAGTGAATGCATATGCAATGCCCGTGCCAAAATATTATTATATATCTTTTCAAAACTATGCAATGCCAAGTTAATATCTTGATTCATAAATCATTTCCATTACAATAGAAAATAAGGCAGTGAATCACACTCTAGGAATTTCAAAACAATCCAACCTTTCCCGGAAATTTCATCTGGTGGAAACCGTAAGCCAAAACCCATGTAAACATAGGCTATAAAAGCATTGCTATTGCCATTTCACAAAAATTTTGTCCACATGATCAACACTCATGCATACGCTCAGTTTTCGAGACTTTCACCCTGAACATTCAGGCCAACTTAATTCAACATTACAATTCATGTTCCCCAGATTTATCATTTTTCTCAAAAAGATAAACATTTTCAATGTATAAGTGGGAGATAATGCTCAATGCAAATGAATGAGGAAATAGTTTCAATTCTTCTAATTCATATGCAATTTCTACAACAATCATAGATATCCTCCACTGAAAGCCCAAAACAGATATTTAACAGATATTTTTAAACAGATAATATATAATCCATAAAGATAAACTTTCCAAATTTCAAGTGATAAATGATAATATATATCCAACTCTACCATCCTCATCAATACTAATCCAATTTCATAATTTCAACATCAATTTCATTATTTATACAAAACCAGTATTTGAGGCATTTAGTGCAAAATCCCTTTCCTTTCCAAAGTCAACTCCAAGTATCAAAATCAACCATTTCTCCCCAACTCAACATTATTTCCAACATCAAAATCATTCTTAAGAATCCATATGAAAAACCCTTTTTTTTATTTTCACTCAAAACCCTAGATTTAATCTTCTAAAATCTCAATATTGTTTAGAAATAACAAATAGTTAAGTTAAAGCTCATAAAAAAAGTGAAAAAAACCCTTACCTCGAACTTAAAAGATGAGAGAGAGGATGTAGAAACTTCAAAGACACCGAAAATAGACTTTGCTCCAATCAAATGGAAGCTCTAGCTTTTTAACAAAGGATCTAGGATATATAGATCAATGGAGGATAGTGTATTTGAGGATTAAAGATGAGTTTTAGAGAGAGTTAGAAATATTAGGGTTTTGAAATGTTTAGAGAGAGAAAGAGATGAAAAAGTGATTTAAAATGGGCTGTTTACGAACTGATATACGCATAGTTCGCTCGAGCGCAGGAAGTGTCGCTCGAGCGACCAGACACAATAAGTTGTTCCACTCGAGCATAGAATACAATCTCCCAAAAGTTTTACAGACAGAAGACTGTCACTCGAGCGCAAAAAGCTTCGCTCGAGCAAAGAATACAAACTCCAAGTAATTTTGCAGACAAAGATGATCACTCGAATGCAAGAAGCTTCGCTTGAGTGAAGGGTCAAAAACATGTGCAACAACAGTTTGAAAAACAAGCTACCAACCTGTTCCAAATGCAATCAACACATCCCAAAGCTAATCTCAAGGAGATTTGAGGGAAAACAAGACATGGATAACTATCAAAGACAACGAAACTCAGATCCAAAACATCAAATGGATCGGGTCCAAACCAAAATTGCTATAAAACTAGACCTTGTTTTCTAGGAAGTAATCAAGATGATGATATTGTGAAACAAGTTCGACTTTACAATCCCCCCATCTTTCTTTGTCTTTTACACACATATTAGTCACTCTTTGTCTCTCTACCATTCCATGATTCATCAGCCTTCAATCCAGCAAAATGAAAGAATTTTAGACAGCGCATCGATCACTACGCTAATGGGTTTTCACCAAATCTAGCAATGACGTACGTCACTTTCCGACGAGATTTCCGGCATTTTCTTCCTCTTATTGCTCTGTTTCATCGACAATGCCACTAAAGCTACACAATTCGACTTCGAAACCTTAACTCTGACCAGCTTGAAACTCCTCATAAATGCCCACTTGAACAATGGAAGCATGAGGTTCACTCACAACCTCGCCATCCCAAACTCCGGCGCCGGCAGAGCACTTTACTCCAAACCCATCAGATTCCGACAGCCGGTCCCCTATTTGGATTTACAGACCCAAATGGAATTGGATTTATCAATTCACAACAAAACAACAGTTCTTCTGAGTTTAAGATGGTTCCATAGATTTCAATGGCTTTTCTCTCTCGATTAGGATTTATTTTATTTTATTTTATTTATTCAAAAATGTGCATTGATATATATTTTTTTAAAGGATATATATAGAGAATTCAAATTTAATATTAAGGGTGTGTTTTGATGTTTATTATAATCATTTTATTTTAAAATATAATTGCCATTAAAATAATATTTCATTAAGTATGTGTGCTAAGATAAATAAGTGTGAAAATAAAATTTCTAACATTTTATCTTATTAACTTTTCAACTTATTTTAGTTTTTTATGACTAATGTAACCAAAAAATCAACCTAACCCAATTGTCAAAGGACACCATTGTGTATAAATATATACTTTAATTGATTAATATATAATTAAGATAAACAAAAATTGTATATAACAAAAGACAGAGAGAGAGAAGATGGCGAGAAAAAAGATGCGGAAGGCGTATTAACATCATTTTGTAACTTTCATTAACAGTGTTGCCGTTATATTTAGTCCAAAATCATAAGAGGGGTAACTGATTATTTCTAAATGATAGAGAGGTAAAGTACAACTCACCTAAACCAGAAGGTAAAGTAAATTTTATCCTACTAAAATGTCATAACAAAAATTACAAAATGTCATAACATTATGATTCTAAATTTTAAAGTGCACACCATAAATTTATAATTTATAAATTTACCACAAAATACTATAATACACAATGCAAACAATCATAACTTCTTTAAAATGAATACATTTTTAAGAGGTGGCCATTGTAATCTTCTCCTAATAAAATATGATATAATATGATACAATACAAAGCAGGGACAATATCATACATGTTACGGAATACATATATGCACACCCTACCAGTTCCTCACATATATAGCTACTTCACCCTTTCTTACTTCACTGTGTTGTGGTAATTTTTACTTTCACACTATTTTGGTGCTAGTTCAAATTCTTTCTATATATGAATATATGTTAGATCTACTTATGTATTGGTTATTTGGACAATAATTTAGTTATTGTTTTTACTACACATCACTAAAAATATATTCGGTCAACCAATAATAATGACCACAAGCGGTCACAACCAACAACACGATAAATCATAACTAAATATTATAAACATCATAACTGTGACATATGATAACAGTGCTTATTATTCAAAATATTGAAAGTCTAATTGAGTTCAAACTAGTTCATTTAATAAACAAATTAAGTTTAAATAAATTTCAAATGAGCCAAGCTCGAATGATTCACAAATAATACAATTTATTTGTAGCCCTAACTGCGCAAACCCGTGCACACAAACCTTCACCTACATAGAATCCCGTTTTCCTTCCAAAATCCTTTTGTTCAAATCGTACCTGCAGCCACATTCATTTTCTTACAAAAACCTCTTCTTAATTCAACCAACATATGCATATCGAAAATCAATCACCAAAATTTAATGAAAATCGCAATTCAACCATTTTAAAGGAAATACAACTCCAATTCCAAAAGTCAACAATTCCCAACTACAAACAAGACCAATCACCGAGACCTCAACTCAACGGAAATAAAATATATAAGTGAGAGCCAAAGCACGACACCAACTCCACATCACCACAACGAATTGATAAGATTCTCCGTCCAACACTTGCAACCAAGAGACAATAGGAGACTACAAACCCCAGGCAAACAAGTAATAAGGGGACTATACCAAAATCAACCGAATAGATGACATCCAACAAATCAAGCTTAACAGTAATCATGGAATAGCGTTGCACCTGGATGACAAATTTAAGTTGAAAATTTTTGAAAATATTTTGCTTCTAAAGACTAATTTTGACACTTGTTTTTATAGAAGTCAGGGTTTTGAATGTGTGTAGTTTGGAGTATTCTCAACTAGGATGCAACTTTCACAACCAAGACGAAATAACAAATAAGGCATACAACCAGGAAACAAACACAAAACTCTCCGAACCACATAGAGGCACCCAAGGAATATCGCCAATAGCAAAACAAGCTAGTCTAAATGCTTCCATTGACAAAGGTTTGCAACAGAGAAAAATAATGCAGAATGGAATGACGGGCAATGTAGCAAACACCAAAATCCAAGAAAATCCAAGGAGCACTGCAGTCTTCAAGGCCCTTAGTACCTTTTTTCAGCAGATCAAACAAAGATTTAGAGTTAGTATAAACATGAAGGTCTAGAAAGTCATGTTTAAGGGGCCAAGATAGGGCAAGCATCACAGAAGCAAGAAGAGCACTAGATTTAAGCCCAAACAGATTGCGAAACAAAGATCCCACACCATGCATAATACCCACACCAATAAAAATGCAACGACTATAAGCATGTCCACAACAGGGATTAATATGAATTTTCAGGCCATAACACGAGAATCAAGAGGAAAAAGCATGAAAAATTGAGTTGGATGCGAAGAAAAAGATCACCTGAAGTTCTTGTTAAGAGACAAACCACACATAGCACACAAAAAGAATAGGGGCTATTAGCAGGAAATGTAAAATCTAAGCAGTGAAGCCGCCTCAATGCATAGCAACTATTTCTTCATTCCTCAGATACACACATACTTTCAAATAGTGTTTCCAAAACTGTCCAGATCTCTGAAGATCCAGTTGTTGCTCATTTTTTTTTATTTATTTATTACTATAACTGATTTAGTGCTTATTTTCATTCCGCATTCCTCAAATTCAAATCTCTCAAGGAACTAGTGAAAATTTATCTGATTGTCAACTTTAAAGCAGAGCACGGAATACCTTTATAATAAAATAAGCTAAAATAAAAAAGAATCTATAAGGTTAGGTTTTTGAGCTCTAAGCAATTCCACGCCAAGTGAAGCCATATTTCCAGGTTCCCCTATACTATTAAAATAAAATAGGCCCCCTCATCCTTGGGCCAAAATTTATTTCATCTGTGGATCTAGCAGCATTGCACTTTTGAGTTTGTTTGCTTAAGTATTAGTTGCACCATCAAGCTTAGCTCGTCAATTATTTAAAAATTTTGAGTTGAACTTGAGCCAACTCAATTATAAAAACAAGACAAGTTAAAACTCAAGTTTAAAATTTTTTTAAAAATTAATTTGCTAATTAAAATTGAAAAAAATAAATTATGAACAAAATATAAAAGAATGCTTATATTAATAATAAATTTTATTAATCAAACATGGAAATTTACATAAATACCAAACACAAATCATTAAAATAAAATAAAATAACAAATATTGATTTCATATAGTATTAAAAATATTTTTTTTATTTTTATCTTCATGAGACTTATCGAGCTAAGTGTAGGTCTACTCGAGCTCTGCTTAATTACCAAACGGGCCTAAAATCGAGTTTGAACTATTTCACTTAATAAATAAAGTTTAAAGAAACTTTAAATGAACTGACCTCGAGTTATTTAAAAACAATTCAGTTCTGTCGCAGCCCTAATGCCACCCCAACTTATTTTGCTAGCCTACACAGAATCTGGTTTTCCTTCCAAAACCCTTTTGTTCAAACCGACACTACAACCACATTCCTTTTCTTACAAGAACCTCTTTTTAACTCGCTCAACTAAAACGTGTGTCAAAAATCAAACTCCAAATTTCAATGCAAATCACAACTCAACCATGTTAAAGGAAATAACTCTATTTCCAAAAGTCAGCAATTCGCAATGACAAACAAGACCCATAACCGACACCTCAACTCAACGGAAATAAAAATAGATGAGTTAGCGCACCAAGCATGGGCCTCTATGCACAACACAAACTCCACATCACCACACCATAGCAAATCGATAAGATTCCTAGTCCAACACTTACAAAGAAGTGATAATAGGAGAGTACAAACACCGGGCAAACAAGTAATAAGGGGACTGTCCCAAAATCAACTGAATAGACAACATCCAATAAATCGAGCTTAACAGTAATCATGATATAACATTTCACCCCAACGACAAATATAAGTAGAAAATTTTTGAAAATGTTTTCCTCAGGTAATGAGAATACCTGATCACATGCATATCTTCAAGTTTGACTATGCTGGTGGGCCTTGAGTGCATCTTTTCCCTGCATCTTAGCATAAGAAATTGCTGCATTTCTTCTACAGTCTCTACCCATTGCATTCGTTTAAATGCCTGTGAAAAAAAACTACTTCTCTATTAGCTACATCCAAAAATCCAATTATAGCAATGCAAAACAGACCTTAAAGGCGTGGCAAAGGACCTAGGCATTCAAGTTAGAGATGGTGAAAATGAATTGATTTCAACAATAGTTGAATAGGAAAAGCTGAATAGTTTGAGGTTCAATTAAACTGTAGGAGGAAGAAGACAGCTGTTGAAATCAATTCATTTTCCTGCCCAGCTTTTCCCGTTCTTTTTCGATAAAAAGAAGAAAGGGCAGAGAGAGAGAGAGAGAGAAAGAGAGAGGAAACAATAAAACAAAAGGCCAGCATTAATCAAACAAACCTGATAGAAGGGGATAACAGAGGCAGGATCAGTCAGATTGATGAATACATGACCCCTATTGCATTTGTTCTTCAGCAAAAGAAGGATAAGTCATAATTATTCACAGTTTGTAAGGCAAAACTAACTCTGTTCTTCTGAGGTAAAGTCACTTGCCTGAAAATCGAAGGGCAGTTTAATAAAATCATAACCACCCTTACAACGTTCACCAACGACATCTTCAAGGATTTATAAGTACATCTATCATTGAAACCTTATCAAGATAAGAAGAAAAAAAGAGACAAAAACAGGTATACATAATCATCCACTACTACTTTAGAAAGATCCCACTTGATGTGGAACAAAGTGCTCTTCACGTGGAACAAAAAGCTGTGTGGAACTACCTGTTCTGGGGAACTAAGTGCTAGACTATTTTGGGAGCCACCTCTAGCGGTTGTACGAGCTAACAATTGAAATCACATCCCATGTAATATGACTGTCACCTCAATAAGCCTGGTACTGTTTTCCCGTAGATATGGTTATACGTTAGGTATAATATTGTATTTATATGTATTTTAAAATAAATTTTTGTTATTAGAGACGAACTTGAGTAACTTGTTTGTTTGATGAAAACATATTCACATTTGATCGTTTTCATGTCAATGCCTATCCATGAAGATTTTGTACCCCTTATGCTCTCAGTATAATACTTCTCACCCTGCAATATGCTTATAGTCAGATCAGAATTAGTTACACTAATCACCAGTTCATATATATTCAAAAATTAAAAAACCAAAAAAGTAAGTACAAACTAGAATTTAACATAAAGAAGATAGGCGAAGAACCTGACAAACCCTTAAATGTGAAACTATTGATTTGTCCCAAACTAGCACCAAGAAAGACAGCGCGCCAAAATTAACAGGATAGCAAATACTAGATTTATTAAATGTGAAACTATTGAAACCTGCTACATGCGCTTTAAGCCTAAAATAAGCCGTCTCGACCAAATTATTTCTGCCTTAATAGTCTCTTTACTTCCTCAAACGGCGAATTGCCGCAGTAGTCTTCGACGTTGGTTCTAACATCCAATCTCCAGCTCTCATAGCCAAAAAATTCACAGCCTAGTTTTCCTTTCTAAAATGTAATCAAACATCTAATTCTTGAACACTTTAAAGGGTAATGTCCTATAAGTATAAAAATGCATTAGTGCAAAGAAAAAAAATTATTTGCAAGACTTTCAAATAAAAATATATAAAGAAATAATTCATACATGTAGAGATCGTAATATTTCACGGGTAATTTGCCGCCATTGATAGCTTTAATAATGAATTAGTCATCCAATTGTATTAACATCTAGGTGAACCCATATTGTCGAGCCCGAAGGAGGCTACATTCGGCAACTTTTAACTCAGCTTCGTAGATGTCGCGTACACCTCTGATCCGTATAACATGTATAGTTTTAATCATACCCAAATAATCGCGGAAAACAACACCGCTGAACCATAATCAGTCCCACCTATCCTAATGAATGATGCATATGAGTTGATTTTATTCCAATACATGGGAGGAGGAACCCAAATAAACCTATCAATTGGTTGTTCCCAGTGTAGAATATTAATATACTTGACACACTAATTGTCTGAACTTTAATAAAATCCTTGAAACAGCCATACTGATACGGACCCAATTTCAAAAATAGGTCCATATACTCCTTCACAGAAATGTATATGGGTCTTTTCAATTTCGATTATAATCCGTACAAGGTAAGAAGATGTGATAAATGTTTTTCTTCGAATTGGGTTCTCAAACTAATCTCAACTGGGATCGATATACAATAATCGATATGCAAGAACCATTTCGAAAACCTGCGGAATTAATAAAATACAACAATCAATTTTTAAGAAGATATATACATAACAAAGTTAATAATTACAATTATATGAATAAGTGAGTAGTATTCATATAATAATAAATGTTATTATCTTTGTTATGTATGTATCTTCTTGAAAATTGTTAGTATTATTTTTTAATATTTTATAAGTTTCAAAATGGAACATTTTTGTGTAAGACCTGTGATTAGTTTTTTAGTTAGAAATAGATTAGTTTCTCAAACTAATCTCAACCCCATTTGAGATTAGTTTGAGAACCCAATTTGAAGAAAAACATTTAACCCACCTCCGTATTTTATACAAATTACAATCGAAATTGACACAGCCCATATACATTTTCGTATATATGGACATATTTTCGAATTTGGGTCCGTATGAGTACAGCCATTTCAAAGAGTTTATTAAAATTCAAAAAATTAGGGTTTCGAGTATAATTAATACTCTGCTCTTAGAACAACCAATTGGTAGGGTCATTTGGATTCCTCCTTCCACAGATTGGATAACAATCATCTCAGATATATCATTCATCAAGACAGATGGGACTGTTTATGCTTCAACGGAGTTGTTTTGCAAGATCATTTGGGAACGATGAAAGCTATACAAGCTATACAGCTTAGAGTTGTACACGACAGATACGAGGCTGAGCTAAAAGCTGCCGAATGTAGCCTCCTTCTAGCTCGACAATATGTGTTCACGTAGTTATTAATACAATTGGATAACTCATTCATTGTTAAAGCTATTAAAGGTGACGAATTACCAGTGAAATATTACAATCTGTACATGTGTTAATTATTGCTTTATTTTATTGAGAAGTCGTTAAAATGATTTTTTTTTTCTTTACACTAATGCATTTGTACTTATAGGAAATCAACTCCTAAACAATTAACTGTTTGATTACATCCCCAGAGAGGGATACCAGGTTGTGAATTTTTTAACTACGAGAGCCCGAGATTGGATGCTAAAACTAACCTTGAAGATTACTACAGCAATTCACCGTGCTTTTGAGAAAGACTATTATGCCAAAAATGATTTGACCGAGACGACATACTTTAGGCTTAAAGCATAGATAGCAGGCTTCAATAGTTTTACTTTTAGTAAGTCTAATATTTGCTATCCTGTTAATTTTTGCATGTCGTCTTTCTAGGTGCTAGTTTGGGACAATTCAATAGTTTCACGTTTAACGATTTATCGGCATCTTCGCCTATCTTCTTGATGTTTAATTCTAGTTTGTAATATCTTAACTTTTGGTTCTTTAGTTTTTGAATATATACGGACTGGTGATTAGTGCAACTAATTTTGATCTGACTATGAGCATCCTGTAGAGTAATATTATAACGAGAGAATAAGGGTTAGAAAATCTCCATGGATAGGCATTTAGGCCAAAATGATCAAATATAAAACAACTAAGTTACTCATGTTCGTCTATGATAACAGAAATTCATTTTAAAATACCTATAAATACAATATTATACCTAACATATAACTATATCCTCGGACAAAACAGAACATATAAATACAATATTATACCTAACATATAACCATATCCACGAACAAAACAGAACATATAAATACAATATCATACCTAACATATAACCATAACCACGAACAAAACAAACAAGAGTCACCAGAGTGAATCATATAACAATACAAGGGATGCAATTTCAAGAGGTGGCTCATGCGGATTTTATTCGGGTGTTCGTACAACCGAATCACCCGACCAAACCCCACTATGAACAGGGAGGGACCTGGCTAGGGGACTTTAGGAGTTAGTGCCCATGATTTGTATTACTCCAAGAAGACCAATTATTTTGTGGAATTAGAGGTGATTAGGCCTAAGTTAAGCCTCAAAGGCTTTGAGCCTGGTCAGTCCCTGGCACTCGTGGAATCATTTTTACAAACCAAATGAGACCTATTTTGGGACAGTCCAAAGGTGGTTCTTCCTCTCATATGCCTAAAATTACAGGCCAGATATGGTCAAATGTTGTTGATAACCTTGGAAAAGGAGACGATTGCAACCAACTTCCGGTCGGCTGAAGTTTACAAAATTACAAAATTTCAATTTCATAGTTGGTCAATGGTTTTAAAACTAAACAACAAGAGGAAACCGAACCGAACTAAACTAAACTACACGTGTTTCTATTGGACTGGTTTAACAGATTGCATCCTTATCACCTAGTCTCTGCATCACAGATTTGTTATTTTTGTGGCATTGATTGAGTAGTTGGAAATTTACATTTATCTTTCGACATTTCAATTGTCTAAATGCTGACTTCCAAGTTCCAACATAATTTAGATCTCACTTATCTAATTAAATGTTGTTTAGATCTCTCAAATTCCAATCTCTTCTCTCTAGTAAATGAAAACTTATCTAATAAATTAACTGTGACTGGACTACATGTGCAAGAGATACTCAGCTATTGTTCGGTGGCTGAGGAGCTTTAAACTGTGGCCCTATCTTGGTTTGGTGTGGCTTGGGTGTTCCTGGCAACTCTAATGCCTTGGTTGTTGAAGAGGGAAAAGGGTGGGGAAGAGAAATAATTGGATTATTATCCATCTTGGCTAGATGTGGCTTATTTAGTAAGCAGGATAGGAAACATAAGACAATTTGATAGTACCGAATATTCCTTGTCTTTGCCCGTTATATTGATGTACCTCATTTCTAGTATTTTGTATATTTGGGATTTGTTGGCCAATGTTACACGGATTCTTAAAAATATATCAAATATCTATTTCGGACACTTCACACTTGGATTAGGGTTTGGGATATGTGGCTCACACTTGCAACTGAACACTTTGCGAGAAGCT